CATAAATTAGATTTATGTCAATATATGAAGGCCTATAGGGTCACACAATATGCAATCAGTTTTTCGACTAAGAGTGAATCGAGAGTGTTAAATATTCAATTGGATTGGAATATTTATTTATGAGTAATGAGATTATTTTCTATTTGATAGAAAATATTTAATGAAGTTAAATTAGATTTATACTTAATTAGTAATGAGATAATTTTCTATTTGATGGAAAATATTAAGTTAAATTAAATTTATATTTAATTAAAATATTAATTGGATTAGGTCCAATTACTTATTGGGCTGTAGGGTAGCCTAAGGCCCATATAATTAGGTTTTGACCTAATTATAAATATCTCATTATCTCTTCATAATAATCAATCGTTGGAAGAAAAAAGAGAAACACTGTGAGAGATCCCAAAACATCTTAGAGATTGAGATATCAAGATCAAAACACTCTCTAACTTTTTGGATCGAGGATTCCTAGCTTCTTCACCAGAAAGGATTCATTGGCGTTGGATCGTGCATCGAGAAACTGGATTGCGTGGATACCATAGTCGAGGACATAGACGAACAACGGTAAGTTTTCGTTGATCATTCACGCGATCTAGGATCATATGGAATAGTTATAACCGGATCTTCTTGTTGGTAAGAAAATTTTAAATTCCGCTGCGCGTACGCTAGGATCGTATGTCTAAAATCCAACAGTGGTATCAGAGCACCGGGTCGATGTTCATAGCTATTTGATTTTAATTATATTTACATGGATCAAAATATGTGTTAATCGTGTTAAGATAATTAATTTGGAATTGATTTTCATTAATATTTTGGTTGCTGCGTTTATGTTCGACCAATTAAATCTGGGATTTTTCATGTTCGTCAATTCTGAGATATGGGATTCGATTTGGGTCTGTATGTTCAAAAGGCAGATTTTAATTGGATGAATTATCTGTTAGTTATATTTTAATTGTTTTAATGATAATTAAAGTATGATTAAGGAAAGGAATTTGGAATTCTGTTCGTACAATTACGCTGTTCATATAGCACAAATCTGGGAATTTGCCTGAACCCTTCGCGTGAACTCTCTCCCGTCTCCATCTACCGCCCTCGCCCGTCGCGCCTCTGTCGTCGATCGTCGACGCTGTGGGTGGCCGCCAGAAACCGAGCTTCGAGCTCGTCCGCCATTAATGGCGGACCCAAAAAAAAATAAAAAAAAGGGGGAATTGCGATTTGTCCACCTGGATGGATTCCGGCGAGAGGCTGCCTGCATGGGGCGGCGGGGATTGACGGAAGTCAAGTGTCGCGGCCGATGCACGGTAGGCGAGTGACGAGGCGGCTGAAAATCGTTTTTGGAGTCGAGGACCTTATCTTGAAAATTTGATAAGAGTTAGGGGTTGATTTGCTATTTCACAGATTTTGTTTATTGCAATTTTGCCCGGGGCAAATCTGTGATTTCGAAAAGTTAAAAGAAACAGCAATTTGGTCCTTGGGGCCAATTTGTAATTTCTGCAAAATAGCTAAGGCATGTTTGGATGTATTCAAAATTCAGAATTTTGATAAAGTTGAAATACTTGGTATTTTTGCTTGTTTCAAATTTCTGAAAGATTCCTGAAATTGAAATTAACCCTTAGGGTATATTTCAAACTAAAAGCCTATTGTCAAATGATTATTAAATATTTTTGAAATATTTAATGAACGAAATAAAGCTTCGAGCTTGTTTCAAAATTTTTGAAATTTTGATAAACATTTTAGCACATTATTTTGATCCATGAATTTGCTTGGCATATGTATTTTGAATACATATTTATGTGTTTGGGATATATTACAAATGCATGATAATT